TGCGCGACACGTGCGCGACGCCCCAAAAATGGTTCACAATCACAAATCACTCAGCGGCTTTTTTGGACAGAGTTTTAAGGCATTGAAATTATCCGCTCATTTTTCCTGCGCATTGTTCCCGTGCTTTCCATTCTTGCCTTTTTTCTCAGACAGTTTTTACGTACTCCTTCAACTTCTGACTTTGGTTCGCTTTTTCTGCGAGCAAATTGTTCGGTGTGGGAGGTGATTTTGAGCAAACCTCTATCGGGCAGGATGGCAGGATGGTGTGTGCGCCGCGATTGGTCTATGCGCCCTTTTCTCAGTCTAATTTTACATTTAGCAGTGTGCAGTTTGACGAATCTACCACTGAACTGACCAAACGATGTCATTTCGCAGTGCTTTTGTACTGGAGTGTTCTGCAACTGTGTTTTTGAAAGCTGTTTTGGGCCTGGAGTGCTGTAGTGGAGTGCTTCGTGCCTTGGATCCTTGTGTGTGCCAAGCTCTTGTTTGACTCACGGCTCTTGATGCTGGGCCTGTCCTGATAGATGAGACAATGGAGGAAGGCAGGCCGCCGCTAGTGAGAGCTTCACCATTGAGTTTAGAGCAGCCCGCGCCCAAGCGCGTTCGCAGAGGAGGAACTCAGGACCTTGAAGATGATGCGCAACGAGAGGAGGCTCTTGCAGAGACTTTGAAAAACCTCTTGGAGGGAGGATTGGAGAAACGTTTGCCGTGTGATTTTTGTCCAACAGTCAGTTCTGTCTTATGTGAGGCCATTGATCACTTCTGGTCACAGTGTGGGCGCCAAGACTGTGTGATATGCGATGAACTTGTGATCAAAGAATCAAGCGTCAAGCGTCTTATCTTTGCTGCAGCAATTTTCCACTACCCGAGTTTTCTTGCGAAGAAAAGATTGCTAGCCCCAACTTGTCCTGATGGACGTTGAATCACATGCAGATTCAGTTGATGCCGATGTTCAAATGTTGATGGCCCAAATGCAAGAGAATGGACCAAAGAAGCGAGGTCGCCCTAAAGGGCCAGCTGCTGGAGCTGGTGAGGGAGGTCCCACAGACATGCCCGCACCTGCGGCAAAGGTACGCAAACAAAGGCTTGTTGCTCCAAAATGCAGGGGCTGCAAGCAGAAGATTCCACCTGCTGAGTGTGCTCCAAACTTTCCAGGCTGTCACCCATGCAAGAGGGCATTGGACAACATCAACAAGTTGGCTCATCGCCAAGGTAAAGAAGCTGTTGCTTTCGTCAAGAAGCAGAGGGAAGATGATGACTGTTGCTTTGCCATGGTTCAGTCCTACATGGAACTTTGTCCGGAGTCCATGGATGGTGCCAAGAACAAAAAGCGGGGAACTTGGTCCGTTGCCCGCTACCAAGAGCGCACAGAGGCTGCGTCTGGCTTCATTCGGGACAAGGTGGGTGAGATGATGGGGAGGAAGTTGTACATAGAGTTTGCGCAAACAACTCGTGGTGGAAAGAAGAGTGATGACCAAGCTGCTGCTCAGTGGACAGAGTGGGAGCAAAAGATTGGGGAGAAGGACCCAAATGTCTACCATGACTTTTTGGGTGAGAATGGCGCCTTGCGAATTTGGGTTCACACAGCCGATGAGATGCGGATGAGGTCTTCTTACATGCAGTCAAAAGAGCTGATTGGCGAGGTTGAAACCGTCAAGAAACCAAAAGCTGCAGACATTGAGCGCATAAAAGGCCAACTCGGGACAAAGCACGAAACTATGTCTGAGCAGAGCAGCATATGCGCTGCCATGCTCAAGAATGGGGAGATGGCCTTCCAAGGCAACGACAACTTTTTGCTGGATGTGACGGAGCTCTTGGGAAAGACGGGGGCGTCAGAAGCAGAAACCACTACAGAAACCTCAGAGCCACAAACCCCCAACAACTCTCCAGACAAGACCAAGCCATGGGTCGAGAGAGACCGTGTGGTTTCAGCAACACTTCGCTCAGCTAAGCTGCAGATCGAGGCCTTCAAGGTGAAAGCTCAGCAAGGTTTGGACAATTTGAAGGCAAAGCTCGAGGAGCACAAGGCCAACAAGGAGGCTGACTTCCTAACAAACTTCGCTGGTGAGCTCAAGGTCTTGGAGGTTCGCGTCGAGGCTCTCAAGCTTGTCTTGGACTTGGCCTTAGTCTAGTGGAGAGCAACGGCAACAGATTGTTTTTGGGCAATCCCTTTCTTCTCGGTTTCAAACAGATTCACATATTCACAAAAAAAGAGCTTACAATTTGGGAATCACATGGCTAGAGAAAGTAAGAAAGGGTCAAGACTTTGTTGTGTGAGAGGACGACTTCAACTTTTGTTTACTATTGGGGGCTTGGGGGTATTGCCTTGTTGCTTGGTTCCTGAGGAATCGAAAGATGAGGACAAGGTGAAGGAGTTCATTGCCAGGTTCAGTGCGTGCAGTTTGCCTGCCAATGGGGGAGAGGCTGAGATCCCACAAGACGCGGAGATCCATGAAAGCAAGGTTGAACTTGGGAGGGCGCCTCCTTGTGAGCTCTACGCTCAGCTCAAGCCCTTTTGCGTTTTGGAGCAGACTGCTGAGAGGTACCACCAATGCACTCTTCCTGCCCATGTGAAGGACCGGTGTTTAGTTTTCTTTGCGTGTGTCACATTGTGGTAGAGAGATTGTTTCGCCTGGGCAACCCCCTGATTTGGTATGCTTTTTGGAGGGTTGTGCAAGCAAGACTTCATGTGGTGTGCGCGTGGCTTCGATTCCATGAGTCAGAAGTGTTGTTTTGTGGGCCGCGGTTCCTTCAGGTTTGTTGAAAGCCAGTGCCGCTGTCATTTTTGAATTTAAAGCTCAAAGCCTATCCACCTTCATGCTTTGCAACCTCTTGTCGCGCGTGCTGCCAAGCACTGTGTTTGTGAGGAGGTCACTGAGCAACTCACCAAGCTTCGTGCTCCAATGACTCAGTTGCTCGGGAATGGTTTGAAGGCCGAGAAGACCTTGAAGACGGCTGTGGAGCAGCTGAAGAAAGCTGCAGAGAAAAAACAGGAGAAGGCTAGCAAGGCGAAGAAGGCAAATGCTTCTCCAAGTATTCCTATCTTCGACCAAGGTGCTTCAATGGCTACTCAGGTTGAGAAACTTGCAGCTGGGGCGAAAGTGAACGCTTCAAAGCCTTTCTTGATGGATTGCAGCTCTGTTGTATCCACTTTGAAGGAAGATGGCAAGCTGACCCAGCAGCAGGCTGCCAGTTTCAAAGTGACTTTTGATGAGGACCGCAAAAAG